TCTCCGGGGGGCCCCCCCCCCTGCAGCACCCCCTGTGCTGAGCTGAAGGTCAGGCCAGGCTGGTCCCTGGTGCTGTGGGTTTGAGCCGTGGGGGCAGCACCTGTGCAGAGAGTGAGGAGGGGGAGCAGGAGAGGGGTCCAGGCCATGGTGGAGACACCCCAGAGCTCTGCCTCTGAGCCCACAGCTGGGGAGGGACCCCAGGCCTCTCTTATCCTGGGGAAGGGAGGGTCCTCATGCAAATGTTCCCCTTTCTTCTGTGGCTATGGGTGGTTCCCTGCTGAGCAGAGAAGGGCTGGGCTTCCAAGAGGGTGTCCCATGGGCCTGTCCCTAAGGCCTGTGCCCAGGATATCAGACTCTCTGGTGTGGAGAGAGAAAGTACTGCTGTAGCACGCGTGCACACACACACACACACACACACACACACATCAGGCTGGGCCTGGGCTCCTTCTCTGGGCTGAGTAAGATCCCTCCATTCTCCTCTCTTGTCTGAGACTATCCCTGGGTGCACTGGGCCAATCTTGGGCTAGCGGTCTTGAGGTCAGGGGTCATGCTGGGACCGGGGAGGTAGGAATATCATGATTGGACAAAGTGTAAATAGCCCTGTACCTCTGTGAGAATACTCATTTCGTATTAGGAAAATAAAAGAGGGTGAACCAAACTCTTCTGGGATCTGTTAAATATTCACATTCTTGGATCCAGCACCGTGTGCATAACTGGGCACTGTGCATAATTACTAAGATGAACCTCATACAAATTAAAAGTTTCTATGAAAATATTTGTAAGGGCCTGCCAGTGGCATGGTGGCTAAGTCAGCTGGGTCCCAGAGGCCTGACTGAGCAGATCAAGTCCCAGAACTGGCACTCAAAAATATGAGGATCTCACAGTCATGCACGCCTAAATCCTGACAGGAAGGATCGAGGCAGAAGGAACCGCAGTGCAACGTTCTCCAAGGGATGTGAGTTCTTCATTTCTCTGTTTCTCTTTGTCTCTCATTGCAAACTGTTTGCATCCACTTGAAAACTAATATTTTCTTATTTTTTTAGATTTTTGCCATAAGGCACATTCCCTCACCAGAGAAAGGCACAGAGAGAGGCAAAAGAGAAATCACTTCTTGGGGAGATGGCCATGCCACAATCCCTTCTCCTCCATCCTCCTCTCTGGCTTTGGGCATGCATACACAGGTGCCTGGCATTTCTCAAGCCACCAGGTCAGGGATTCAAACAACACAGTTGGCATTGTGGAATCCAGTGCCTTAACCTTACACTACCTGCGGACCCTAAAAAGATATGTTTTCTTTCTTTAAATTGTATTCTTCAGGGCACAATCTATGTTTCACGTGCCCGTGCACAGTGCAATAGCTGCCTTTGTCAGTCAAACTACTGTATTCATCATCCTGCAAAATTAAGGTTAGTTTTGTCTTGTTTTGGTGCCATGAGCACCCACACCCTGCTCCCAGCAAATTTCCAGAACAGGGTAGGAGAGGTCAGAGGAAGGACAGGTGGTGTCAGGGCAGAGTGGATTCACCCACTGAAGGGTGTCAGGGGAAGCCTCAGTTATGCCCTCTGCACTTGAGCTGGTCCAGGGCACTTGGGGTTATCAGGGTCCCAAAACCAAGGCCCACAGTGCCCCCTGGTGCCTGCAGGACAAATGTCACCTCCCTGTGCCTACTTCAGACAGAATGCCCACTTAGGGCCCTGAAACAATCCAGATGTTTCCTCAGTGTTTTGCAGGCACCACCTCAGCCAGATGTTCCCAATAACTCCCAGCAGCCCTGAGCTTAAGGCAAGGATTCTTATCCCATCTATGCTCAGGGGCCATCATGGGAGGTGACATGATTTCCCCAAAGACCCAGACAGTAGTGGGAGGGGCCTAGGGCTAGGAGCCTCAGCTCAGAGCTGCCCTCAGCCTCCCTGCCCTGCCTCCTGCCTCCTTCTCCTCCCTCCCTGATACTCCTGGGCCCTCTTGTCACTCCCTCTCTGCTTTTCCCAGCTGCCCTGTCGTCCTGAGCTTGTGGACAGAGATCAGGATGCTCCTTCTGCTCCCTCCTGGGTAGCAAACGGAGGAGGGCGTGTCCGTGGTGACACCAGAGATGTCAGAGGCCTGACCTGGCTCGAACACACAGGGCATGTCCTTAAATATCAAGGTCAGGATTCCACTTCTGTGAGCTGAAGGCTGTTTTAATACAGTGAACAAAAGGTAAAGGAGATATAATAATAAGCCATGTGGTTTATTGGCTACGAGCCCACGACTGATGATAACAAAGACACTTCTAACTGATACACTAAATGGCAGGTGTAGCACGTAATCCCAGTCCTGCATTCCTCTTTAATATTAGTAACTAGAAAACTCATCAGTACAGGGGGGAACAATTTGAAAATAAGTATTTGCGCATGGTTAATAATTAAAGAGAAATATATATTTGAGTACATATGCTATACCTGCGTGTATATACAGTTGTACACTCATATTACAAACACACACACACACACATACATTTGTTAAAATTATCCTCTCAGTGCTGTTCCCAGAACCACCTAAATTGTCTCTACTGTGTCTTAATTCCCATTCATCTCATCATACTTCTGCATTTCCCTTTACTTCAACGGTTGGTTTCTGTGTAGGAGTGTGTTTACAACTTGGCAAACATTTGTGAGTTTCATGAGGGGGTGTCTGTTACTGATTCCTTTGTCTATCGTACTGTATTTAGATCATGTGCTTCATGTTTTTTTCATCACTTGTACTATACTAAATCTTTTTAATGCTTGGAAGATCTGCCCTGGAGGGAGGGGCAGGGCCTTCCTGTGTGTGCAGATCTACCTCCTGCTCTAGGCCATGGCGGGAGGGCAGGGAGCTCTCCTGCATCAGCGTCTTCACAGCCTGCAACTCCACAGCGACTCCCATCTGGGGGCAGCATCCTTGCTCTTCCAGGCCGTCCTCAGGTGAGTCTCTTCTGGGCTGAGAGTGTGAGCATAGTCCACGTTGTCCCTGAGAGCCCCAGGGCCTGGGCTCGCTGAGGTGCAGATGCTCTAAGCTCAGCCCCAGGGAACTCTCACTTCCTCTGAGCTGACAATCAGCCTTTGACTCCTCAAGTCCTTCTCAGGCCACCTGGGTCTTGGTGCTTCACTGCTCCTTCCTGGAAGGAGCTGCCAGAAAACACTGACGTGAGGGTCCCCACTCCCATGACTCTCCTGTGACCCCCCACTCCCTCCACCTGCAGACCTCACGAAGGGTCTTTCTCAGTGGTGTCTCCATAGAGCTGAGACATGGTCTGGGTCATTCCAGGTCTTCTCTGGTCTTCAGGGCCTAAAGGTTAGGTCACAGATCAAAGTCACTGGAAATGACCAGCCTAGTGACCAAGGAACAAGCTGAGGCTGCAGAGGTTCAGGAAGGAGCTGCCATGTCTTAGGGAGGCAGGGGAGGGAGGGGCAGAGACTCCTCCATGTGCAAGGGTCTCTCCTGTCATGTGACCAGGGTGGGAGGGAGGACAGGGCACTGTGAGGCAGGCTGGTGGCAGGTTTGTGTCTCACTTCCCCGTCTGTCTGTGTCACTGTGAGCAATGTAGTTACTGCTATCCCACACCTGACAGTAATAGTCGGTCTCGTCCTCGGCCTGGACCCCGCTGATGGTCAGGGCGGCCGTGTTCCCTGAGTTGGAGCCTGAGAATCGGTCAGGGATCCCTGAGGGCCGCTTGTTATCATAATAGATGACCAGCCTGGGGGACGTGCCTGGCGTCTGCTGGTACCACTGCACATTTTTCCCTCCAATGTTGTCTCCTCCACAGGTGATCCGGGCTGTCTGTCCCAGGGCCACCGACATCGAGGACGGCTGAGTCACATCATAGGAGGCCACGGAGCCTGTAAATTGAGAAAAATGAAGTGAATTTTAAGATGAAGGGCCATTCCCTCGAGACCCTCCTGCCTGGCCTGGACTAGCTGAAAGCATCTCTGGGCCCACAGGGCACCCCTTCCGGCAGTCTCAGCCCAGGAGTCCCATGGACTTGGCTGTTGGCTTTAGAAAATAGGAGAACCTGACTCCTCCTGACAGCTATGGCTTCTCAGGCTCAGGCCATTCGGTGAGCACAGTGTGGGGGGGTCTCAGCCCCTATACCCCCACCCCACCCTACTGCAGGTCTAGGAGCCCCCTCTCCCACAGGCAGGGCCCTCTGAGCTCAGAATCAGGCCAGGCTGGTCCCAGAGCCCTGGGGCTGGGCAGTGGCTGAGCCTGGGCAGCACCTGTGCAGTGAGCGAGGAGGCCAAGGAGGAGAGGGGTCCAGGCCATGGTGTCCCCGAGGCTGCTTCTTAGGCCCAGGCTGGGCTGCTTCCTCCCAGGCCTGTCTTATCCCCTGGCTGGAGAGAGCTGCCCCTTATGCAAATAAGCCAGAGCTCAAGTTCTGCTTGAGGGGCTCTGTGGTCTCCAGAGAAGGAATAGTCCAAGGATTTAGGACAGTGGGGCTGCACACACCTGAGCCCACAGGGATCTCCCTCCCATCTAGGCCAAGTCTGTGCCAACATGTCCCAGATTATGCTCAGTCCTCGCTCCTGGGTGGCTACACAGAGCACAGGGTTGATTCTCTCTGCATTTTCCAGGCAGCCTGAGCTCTACCCATGGGCTGACCCTGGGTCTCCTTCTGGACAGCGGCAGAGACACACTGGACAGCAGTGCCTGTGGGACTCGGTCAGGAGGAGTACTGATTTGGGGCTAGGAGTCGAGAGGTCCATCCTGTGCTGGGGCAGAGACACTCATGTGAGTGTCTGTGTTAATTCAGGTCCCAAGTCCTGGGAAAGGGTTTGAAGTGATGAAAACTTATTAAGTCACCAAAAGGAGACTGAGCAGGGCCCTGGGACTCCCTCACTGGGAAATCAGGATGAGGAGACTGGGAAGCTGCCCCAGAAGCAACCAGCAAATCCCATGGACAGGGGAGGGTGGAGGAGTGTCCAGAGAGGAGGAACAGCTGCGTGGGCAGGACAGGGGCACTCAGAGCACAGGGTTGGGCGAGGGACAATGTGAGCACAGGGAGAGGGGAAGTGTGAGGGGCAGGAACACATGTCCCCACGGGGGAGGGAGGGAGGTCTCAGAAGGGGCCTCAGAGGACACATCAGTCCTGCCCTCTGCACTTGAGAACTGCCAGGGACTTAGATGATCAGGGTCCCCTAACAAAGGCCCACAGCACCCCCTGGTGCCCACTGCATGAATGGCACCCAATGTATATCACTAGTTTATGCAGAATGACCTATTTGGGCTCTTAATATAATCCAGAGAGGTTAGTGTTACACTCACCCGACTTCTGTCCATGTTATCTACCAACCCTTAGCAGTTCTGAGGTTAAAGCACCATCTCTTTTCTATTGATGACCACAGAACCTTCCAGAAGGTTCCTCAAAGTCCCAAAAAGCCGTGGGAGGAGCCCAGGGCCCAAGAGACTCAGCTCAGAGCTGCCCTCAGCCTCCTGCCCTGCCTCCTGCCCCTCCTGCTCCTCCCTCCACCAGGCTCCTGGACCCTCTTGTCACAGCCTCTCTGCTTGCCCTCATGCTTTGTCATCTAAGCTTTGTGGACAGAGGTGGAGACCGTCCTTCTGTTCTCTCTTGGGCGGGTAACACAG